CTCGGGTAGGACGTAAAAGATAAGCTCGTAGGGGTTTTCTCTCTGTTCCAGTCGATTATACGATTACTAATAAATGTTGGCTAAATAATCTAGAAAGTATGTTAAAGAACTAGCTACTTTGAGGCTGTAGGCAGTACTAAAGTAGTGTTATTTAGGCCGTAGGAACTAGTAATGAACTTTTAAACAAAGTTATGTTGGCTGTAAACAACTCAGAGGTATTGTCCGCACTTAATCATGACAGTTATTCCTGGTGGTTCTCTAAGTTTATTCGGACTAACTGTACATTGATAATACAGACCAACTTACTGGAATTTAAGAAGGTTATCGCCTATAGGTGCTACCCAAAGCGAAGGCCTTATAGATTTTGTTTGCATCATTTAAACTGCTTAAGTACTAAATTATAAACCAGTCTGCAATTGAAGTATTTTAACTTGCAATGAGCCGCGGAATGTACTTAAGAATACTAAGTAACAACACTATTTAAATACTATAATGGAGCTAATAGTTATCTAGAAAACTAGATCATACAATATCTAACACCAGCAAGGCTTATTCTGCTCCTAACCGAACAATTACAATATTATAGCCGAGATTCAATCAACAAGCCCAGCGTACAGCCGAGGTGGTTCTAAACCCTACTGATGTCACAGGAAAGGTGCAGAAGTGTTGTTTCATCACTCATTATGCCAACCCATGTTCTTTAGATTTTAGACGCATTTATTTACTAGGGAAATCCAAAATTAAGTTATCCAGTCTCACTAAAGGTTCAACCATAGGTCGAAGGATCTACCTAAAAATTACTTTTAAGAATAAGCAACATCATCAAATAGAACCAGGTTTAGTATGCGTAAGCTGTAGCGAGTGAGCAGTTACAGCTACGAAAGTCGCATCTCTAAGAATAAGAGTCAAAGACAATGGCCGAGTGGGACCAGCCAAAGTAAGCTCTGTGTAAGCAAATATCTTTTAGAAACATTGGGAAGATAGTACTTACCTAAAGATTTAAGTGAGGACTAGGTTTTTACCATTTTAAGAGCGGACCGAAGCACATAAAATTTTCCACGGTACAGTCCAACTCTGAGCCCAGAGCTAACATAAGGAAGGTACCCATAGCCACAGTCTTTCAATTTGTGAATTAGAAGTGAGTAGATAGTTAAAAAAACACTAGCAACAAGGACACCTAGAAGTGTAGAGGGTAACATAATCAAAAACTAGATTGAACCACGGTTAACATGTGCACCACCCAGGGGAGGTGCCAGGTTGATCATAATTATTTCTACCCCCGGGTTGATCGCGAAGAATAATACCATGACTCGACACGTACTCGACACGTACCGCGCATACAAGCACTTGTACGATAGATAGCACAGGGAACAAAGGATAATCTTCAGTCAGCCAGAAAGTGTACAAACTAACGCGAAGATGCTCAAGGGGTTATTAGCTACGGTCAGTTCTCCCACTACGAGCCCAACAAACGTCAGTTACCTAAGAAGGTCTTTACTTAATGTTTATTTAGTCAACATCACTGGCGATCACAAAAGGAGTAAAGAGAGGAAATTAGTACGTAAAAATAGTACCAGTTATCAGTACCGCTTATTATGTTATTTACTAGAGTTTGGTCTATTATTTACTATCTTATAGATAAAACTCTTAAAAAAAGCTGTCTATCCCTCAGTTAAAAAGCCTATATTTGTAATGTCTTATCTATCAGAAGCCAAATTCAGATATAAAGGCTTTGTAGCTAAGACTCCTTAGTAAGAGTTAGAAGGAAAAGCGTCATTTTACTGTTTAAGATAAGACGCTTTGTTCAAAGTTAGAAAAACAAGATTATCAAATTCCTAGGTCCACCTTAATAAGTACCGCAAAAGGACTGCAACTCAACAGGGTGTATGTTACCACCTCTTTTTCATTCCTCCTCCCGTAAACAGAGATCTAGATTAGTTAGAGGTTCATTTCACTAAACTATCTAATGAAGTTCGACTTTAAATTGTTCCTGGGCTCTATACAATCTCTCAGGAAACTAAAGGGCACTAAGTTTTGTTTGACTAAATGAGGTGTATACCCCGTTAAGAGTTTCAATAGCAACCAGTAGGATCTACTTTTCTTTGAAGGCGTTATAGATTAAATAATGTCAAAATACAAATCTAAAGTTCGCTCCAATGTAAATTAACAAAAATACACAGCTCCAGAGGGCATTCGTTACTATTAATTCCGAACATAACAGAGAACCGTCGTAAAAGGTAGGAACGATAGCAAACAGAGCTCTCATGAAAGCACAGAATGAAAGTGAGTTACTAAAAAGTTACTCACATGAAACAATACCGCTAAAGAAGCGTCCACAAATATACTCCAGATAAACCCTCTAACATGATTAATACCAAATCTAAGGCATTTGATGATTTTTAACTAGTTGACCTATTATACTAATCAAGAGCTCATAATAAAACCATACCAAAGGGTCGAATTCTGCTTTGAGGGTGAGTCATTTAAAAGTATATGTATCAATCCAGATGAGGCAGAGTAATGATTTAAAATTCAGGATGCCCAAATGCTTAAAATAAATGCATTCATAAATAGCGCGGGTCACATGCGACTGACTAATTAGTAAAAAAGAGATAATCTTAATAGCCCGTATAATAATCACGTAATTAATAAAGGGCACGTACTGGGGCTCATTTTTGGTATAGTTACCATTACGTTAATTGAGGATAAGAGGTTGGAAATTACCAGCAAAATGTAGAGCTAAAACCGTAGACAAACAAAGAGTTTACTATGGGATTCCGACCCAAGTTAAGGATATAATTTTGCATGCTTTGAGTCAAGTAAATCGGCTTTATTTTTTGGACGGCAATTATCTTACCTGAAAGTCATCGATTAATCCGAAGAGGATATCTTCGGTCTAGCCGCGTGAAACCTTGGCTTTTAACTTTAATAAACTATGGAGGGGAGTGTCTTTCTTAACACAAGACAATTAAAGGGCGTGTCATCCCTAACGACCCTGCGTCGCCTTTACATCGTGCAAGACATCCGGGTTTTTTCAGCATGCGGATAACTGCTGCCCAGTCACCTCCAAGAAAGCGGAAGTTCCGTACATGCAGTCGCTTTTTATGACACCAGCAGGTCAACGATGTCCAACAGCGCCGTCATCGGCTACTCTATATTGGTACGCTGTCTATGATTTCAATGGATTGTTTAGTAATTCAGCAAATAGCGAGACGTATTTTATTGCATGTAATACATCGCGTTACTAACACTGCCGAGCAGGAACGGCAAAAATTTTCATTGCACTCCAGTGTATTATTTAAGAGGCGTTATCGACTCCACGCTTTTTGTGAGGTCACGTGTGAATTACGTAGTGGCAAAGACTAAAAAGCGGTAGCCTGAACGCTTATAATCTCCACTTTACACTAAAAAAAGGGGGAGGGTCCAATGCATTATTTGTTAGCCGAGCAGGATAACGTGGTTAGTCGTTTAAAACTATAACTCGTTAGCAATAGCGTGCCTTCTTCATGTGCTACCAAATCAGACGCTCCGAATTATAACAACTGCGTCGCTGTTCGTCTGAGATGAAGCTCTTAAAAGTTTTTCCGATAGTGTCTTTAGTGACAGCCTTAAAATAGCGTGAAACGTCATAGGGATAATTACTGGTAACAAAATTTGCAGTATAACTGAAAAGAAAAACCATAAAAAATTGGAAGTTGTAAACTCATAATCAAAGCTTTACCTGCCTTTTTTAAGAAGTATTTGAAGTTTTTTGAAAGAGCTTCAGGTAATTCTTTCATTAATAAAGACATACCAACACCTTACGAGTAACATGGAATTTTAAAAAATTTACTTTGAAAAGGTAGAATACCTCCAGGAATTCTAATTCTTCATTTAAGTTTTTGAAGGTATCTCAGCATCATAAAAAATATTTTGAAGCGGTTAAAAAGGTGAACGGGATAACGGACACTTATGTTGAACTATGTCCTCTACCTACTACTTCCTTTTATAATGTAAACATTAATGCTATTATTATTAAGATCATGTAAAACTAGTAATAACATACAATATTATAGTAATACTAGTACCAACAAAATAGCTGTAGTGACAAAAATGATAATAATGATTAAAAATAAGTAGTAATTTCTACAATCATACCTATTATATAATATCAATACTGTAGGAATAATAATGATAATAGTAGAAAGATTAAAAACGAGCTTTCAGAATTATTTCTATTGCTTTTAAACAAAAGTAAATGGCAAATATTCTGACTTTATTAGTATTACAGTGTTCTGATCTCATCACCAATAATATTGTTCAATCACAACGAACTATTACACCGCTACAGCTATTGCCTTCCCTGCGAAAAAAACCTAAAGTTGTAATCATGCAATATTACCTATATTGAAAGCAGATGTTAAAAATAGATTTCATACTTTTAGAATTTAACCCGAGCAAAATTACTTTTTCGAAAGTTTGACAATTAATGAATAACATTGCCCATCTCACATTGGGGGATCTTTTTTAAAGTCAGAATCAAGTATTTAGCTTTATTCACTTCAGTGGACCTTCAAACTCTCCGGTAAAATTGACTTGCGTCTACGGTGCAACTATACGTACGCATTAACAATTCCTTTTAATGTTTTGCTAAGTGTTAAAATGTGGTGAGCCCCATGACTACTTATTTTGCTAGGATATCGGCCCTCTTAATGTGTTAATTGTGTTCAAAAAAGATGATCGCCAACTGCTGCTACTTTAGAGAGTTAAAGGAGTTGGGGGGGGGGGTTATTTAAGTCGAGTGTAAAACTTGATTTTAAACCAATGAAAATTTAAAGCATTTTTTTAAACAAGTAATTTATTTAATATCCAACAAAGATTGATTTTAATCTAGAGATTTTAGATTATTTAATAATATATTCCACTTTAAAGAAGAAACAACACCGCATCGGTTACTCTAATTATCTCTCCTTGTCTATTTGTTTCGTTTTTAATTTTATACCTTTATTATTTATTTTTATTTAAACATACATATTTTTTATATTTTTCGTATTTTTCTCAAAATGTTAATACGTTACAAGCACGAACTCTTTAGTTTCATGATTACACAGCAATAATGCTACATTCAAATGTTCAAACAACCCCCGCCACACTCTTATGGCATTCTCAACTATTACGGAAACCTACTCAACTGCGATAATGGGTTATTGATATTAAAATTATCCTAACTTGCTACGATTTAGACGACCTTTTTATTACTATGAAAAAAATTAAACTCAAGCTTCCTTTCCATGAAAAATTGCAAAAAACAGCTTTTGGGCTACAATTGTTAATGGGCAGTTCATACGAAAATGTTAAGAGCAGAATTGTAATAAATGTACTGCACCCAGAAAGAACGTTTAATGTATAAAAAATGTTTTCGGACGAAAATCTTTAATTACTTTTATGTTGTTCATGCAGTCTTCAAAGAGAAAACGAATCTCTAGGACGATATGCCAACAGATCTTGCCGACAAATACAAGAGCAGTGTATATTCCTGATTTAATCTCCTCGTATCTAAAATAATATCTATTGCTCTTATATATAAAAGCGGAGACGATTTTACATAAAAAAAAACATTCTTGGAGCAACACTTTAGTAACAACCATAAACTCCCACATTACTAAGTTCTTAATTCCTTCTACAACTAGAAACCAGAAAATAAATACAAGCTAACCACCAAATTCTACATTTTTAACGCCAAAGTTAAAAATTTGCAAACCTTTAAATAAAACAACGCAGTTTCAAAAAAATAATTGTTACAATAATTTATGCAAAGGTGGGTGGGAAAAATCATTAAAGAACACACTGCTCTTTCTTACATAAAAAATGCACCTTTTAATAATGTTTAGAATTTAATCTCCTTACAGCACAGATTTAGAATTCGAATTATTTAGGGTAAAACTAACTATGTTTAGTAGGTATCTTATTAAATCAATTATGTATAGTATATATATATAAAGTTTTTATAATAAAATACATGTGTGCTTTTCGAAACATAACATTGGAAACAAAACTGCAATCCTTACCTCCTACCGATAACACTTTGTGGAAAATGACGAATGTGTTTAAACCTGGAAAAAAAAAGGTTCGAGACCCCTATAATCAAGAACGGGGAAGCCACCTACGCAAACTCCGAAAAGTCAATTTCTTTGCTGAAATTTAATACGGACGATGTGCGACTCCATTATCTGTGGACAGAGAGCACGAAGCATGCAACGAAAAGCAAATTTCACTTTTCTTCCGTCGTGGGGCTCATTACTCTCTCGTAAGCCCTTACGAATAAAGATGGGACACAATCTCTAATCGACAAACTTAATATGAGGAAGAGCATGACTTCTAAAAAAACTTCAAATAAAATGCTTAAAAATCTTCCTATACCCACAATTAATTACCTTACTGAGCTCATTAACTCGATTATTATTCGGGTTATAAATCTTTAAGATGAAAGCAAGCTGAAGTTGTTTTCACACAGGGAATAACAAACGTACCAATCTAGCCAGAATGGGACCGATCTTTTTCGGCCGCTTTTACGATAACAAACCTCATGCCGACATATTAATCTATTATTGAGTTAAAGTGTGTATGTTATGATGCGAACGTCTCAAGAACTGAAAATATTTTGCCCAAGCGACTACGCTAAAGATTATTGTCCTATCACCTAGTTTTCTGCTTAGGAAAAGTTGCAGAAGCTTGGCTTCTCTTAAGGCTTGAAAAATTGGTTGATGATGAAAGCTTTATTCCAGCTTATCAATTTTGTTTGTGAAGAAGCCACTCTACCATTCAACAAATCTTAAGGTTGGTGGAAAACACAAATAAAGCCCTTAATAACAAGGAGTTCACTCTTATGTTTTTTTTTAGGCATACAAAAGTCTTTCGACTAGGTATGACATAAGGGCCCCCTATATAAAATGATTAATGCGCATTACCCGAGTACTTAATACAAATTACAGAAGCATACCTTAGCAGTAGAACCTTCTTGGTCCGTGTAGGAAGAGGACTAACAGATTCCACACTACTTAACGCTAGGGGCCCACAGGTGCCCATATTATCTTCTATTTTATTCCCATACATGTCTGAAATACCTCCCCCTACCGCTCAAACTTCCTCATTGTTGTATACCAATGACACTGTTAGCTACAACAGCTCAAAATCTTCGCCTCTTACAATCAAATATATGCAATCCAATCTTAACTCATTTAAAGATTGGTTAACAACGGGAAAAGTAACCATTAAACCTTTTAAGAGCCATGCCTATCTCATAGAAAAGAAAGAAAAGAGTACTACAAGACATTTCTTTTTCATATTTCTCCCGCTTGGGATAAATAAGTCATCTACCACGGTGGTGCATTGATGACAAGCTTAACTGGGCACACATTGAATATTTGGTTAAAAAAATTAAAAACACGACACGCTTTATATCCGCTTTGACCTGGATAAGAAATTAATTATTTACAGAGCTATTTTAAGAGCAGTGATGAGTTATGCATCAGTTGCTTGGACCTATTCCTCGACCTCCAACATAGATAGACTGCCACATGCAAAATAATTTCTAAGAATGTTTACAGGAGCTCCTTGGTATATGAGACCTCCACAAATACATCGTGAATGCGAACTGGAACCATTTTTGAAGTTTATTAAGCGCTTAGCTTAGGAGTGCATAAAAACAGCTGAAAATAAATTTCCTAAATTATAACCCTCTCATTTTACCAAATATAGAAGACCGAAACATCTTACTATGTTCAATAATTTTAACTGCAAAATTTTTACTGAAAAATAGTACAATAACTCTGATAATAGTGGCGAATAAATAGTAATAATGTCAGTAATAGTATTATTAGTAATAATAATATATTAGTAATATTTCTATATTTATATAACATGCATAAAGCTAGTGAAGGCTTACTCATATGAATCTAAAATTTAGAAAAAAAAAAATTGGTCTTATAAAGGAAATATTTATTTTGGCGGTTCTACTTTTAATTAAAAACTATTTTTAAAAGCAGCATCTTTGGCAGGGAGAAAGCTCTTCCGAACAGCTCTGACTTGGGGGAATTTAAGTTAAGCATTTTAAGTTATTTTACTTATGAAGACTCTAGCATGCCAGTGCAATAAATAAATAAATAAATAAACTAAATGAGTGACTCGTACAATTTTTTTTTCGCTTTCTATCTTTTTCGGTTTTTGCCACTCGTTGAGTGTTTTAGTTTACGTTGGTCTAGAGGACCAGCGATATTATAAAGGTAAAATTTTTAGTTTAGAGGGCGTTATAGTGGAAGTTAATAAATAGCTTAGTGGTCTAGGGCACAACTTAGTAAATACTTCGTGAATAAGTTTCATTAAATACCTTAAACACATTAAGAAATTTTGTTCAAACGAATAAACTTGGTCATTTTGATGTGGTATGTTTCATGAAAGAAAAAGATTACAAATTAGTTATCGGCTCTACAGCCTATCCACATATTATAAATAAAAAGGAATTACTTAATAATATAAAAGAAGAAAATGTAACAATGAATACGATAAACGAGAATGCAAATGCGTCTCAACTGACCATCTAAAAATTTTTGATAAAGGTAAGTTAATAACAACGCCAATTTCAGACATAACTTATTTTCATGGGAAAACTAAATGAATATGGGTACACCACCCGATCTGGAGATAAAAAAGTAATTAGAAAAAGAATAAGACACCTGTTGCCCATAGTTTTTCAAAAAACGGAACATATAGACTGAACCCGATTAACACATAATACAACGGCATTAAATAGGTTACAATCTGAAGAGGGTAACAAAATACCTGAAGAACACTACAAATATGGGCACATAAAGTATGGATACCTGAAAGATATCATACCTAACGTAAAACCTTTTCTACTGATAATTGTGAAATATGCACAAAATGTAAAAATGAAAAAAAAGAAAGTAAATAAAATAAGTCGAACGCATCACCTTCGTGAACCTTGTCAACTACTCTATGTTGATACTTTACAAAGGGACATAACATCTTTGATGGTTTTCAAGATGAAAAATCTAAACCTAAGAAGATATAAAATATGAACTATCGAACTGGCTAAAATACTACCTTTATATTAAAACAGGAAACTAAATAATACAACTTCCTATGCAAGCATAACCGAGGAAGTAAGAACGAATAAAGGTTGTGAATACGTTAATGACACACTAAAAAGCGAATTATAACGTTAAGGAATCCCATTTACTACGGTTCCTAAGAATACACCACAGTATATGCTAAGTGAACGTGGTATACAGATCTTATGCAATATAACTGGATGCATCTTAAAGCGATCATGGTTACCTTCGGAATATTGGAATGATGCTTTCAGAGATGCTGTTATATAGATAACAATATTTCGAAAGGCAGCAAAACTCTTCCACCTACAGTGTTATATGGCCTTTAAACTATTAACTTAAGAAAATATATTTCCTCAGGTTGAAAAATTTTTATTTTTATAATCCCGAGCACAAAACGAAATCTCAGTTTATAGCAACAGAGGGAAACCTACTTTAGAAAACCAACAGATTCAACAAATGATATATACAGCATCCTAAATCCCAGTACCAATAAAAAATAGTTTGTCGAAGGATGTTATCTGTTATGAAAACACATTTCCGTACGAAAACATTAAGCGTGGAACTGACAATATTAGAACTAAAATTTTTTTTTTACCCCATACCTTGGTAGTACATCAAACTTTTGCCCATTACCGACAAAAATATCAGTAATATTAATGATTTGAGACTAAGCCAAAAAATAAAAGAGAGGCCCTTCCAATATCAGTAAACAATAACAAAAATGAATTAACTAAGACGATAATGAAAACACGCTTGCAGAAGCACAGAATATAGCACCTATAAACAGCAAGTCCTCTCTGTGAACCCAACTTTGAAGGTGAACAATATCTCTTTTACTGCAAAATGCACAGCTCCTAAAACAAAGGAAAACAATACCATAATTACCTCAGCTCTTTTTTTTTTTTTCCTCTTCGCAAACCTTTTATACAACCACCAGCTCAAATTAAAACCTATTCCATTATCTATCAGTTTGATTAACAAAAAATTTATACCAAAAATTAAAAACAATAAGCTAAAAAACAAGTTTATCTAGAAGATAAGCCAAACTCTGATGCTGTAAATATCGCGACTCCTATAGAAACTTCTAAATATACTTCATATTTTTTACAAAAGTCAGAGTTTGATGATAAAAGATTTCAATAACATAAATTCGGAACCTCAGAATCTAATCCTCAAAAATCGCCTCGAACAAATACTAGATAAAGTTTTGTCTGACACTAAGAAAAGAAATCTTAGGTCTTTTGAAGAGAACATAGATAAGGTTAAAAAGACTAAAGAGGATAACTTCGCAATAACCTATCTACTTTTAATGAAGCAAAAAGTTTGGAAGGCAAAACACTTCATATGGATGCCGCCACTAATGAACTTACTTCCTTACTTAAGCATAGAGGATTTAATATTATAACCATTGAAGAAGTTCCTACGGATGAATAAATTTTATCCACAACCTGGATACTTCACAGAAAGAAAGTAACTATCAGTATAAGGCAAGACTAACAGGGAGGGGTTATCCACAAATAGCTGGTACAATGAACTATATTCTCCAGTTTTATCTAAAGAGTCTTTTCATTTACTACTCCACATTGCAATTTATATAAACAGATGCCTATACAACTTGCTTAGACAACTACTTTTCTGCAC